ATTTAGACGACTATTTTTTCACATTGACAAAGTAGATAAAAATAAAACTAGAAAGAATTTGTAATATTTTATTAATCTGCCAACGGCATATAGAGATATAAAAAAAATTAATCCATTGAGCATAAATGTATGCGAATCTAGGAAATTTAAAGTTTTTAATTATCAAATAGTTACAAAGAAAGTCACTCGCGAAAGTCACTCTGCTGCTTGATCGAACAGGTAGATACGATCAAAGCGATATACTCATGACATTTTGACATTTTGGTTGTTCTTTCGTAAGAAAGAAGGTCAATCGTAGAATTGATCGGCGTACAGAAATTATTTTTCACATTTCATTTTCACTTACCTGACACTAGGTAAAAATGTCGGGGAATTGCCTTGACAATCTAAAATCTTGCACCTCATCGACACATATGTAGATCTTAAAGGTCACTGCAAAATATTCCGTTCAGCTCTCAATCTCTCGAATCTAGTTCCACGTAAATTTAACGCTTATTTCCGTTTTTTCTTGATTGAATCTAGTAAAGATGATCGATCAAGGCTCAATAATTGAGAGTCTCGAAAGTTAGAAGTAAACGCGACACAGATTCCTAAGAAGACTGCTGGTTCTTCGTCAATTCTGCCGTTCTTACATAGTCTCAGGCACTCCCCTTCCTCGGTCTGATTTCATCAACGAGTGGGGATATATCCCGTGGCTACTGAACAAATAAAACTCGATAGACGATTCAATAATTACATTATTATATCCATTAATCGTGTCAATGTAAATAAATGCATATTGGAGATTGGTAAAGCGGTAAAAAGGTATTCTTATTTTCTGTCAGTCTGCTCGAAATAATAAAAGTAACGCGCGAATTAGGCTGATATTAATTTGCCGTACGATAAATTTTTCAAGTAAGTTAATTGTAGGAGAGAAGTCCTCGGATTTTCTCTATTTTATAGCTAATCAACAGGCTTAACAAATTTGTTGTAAACCAAATGTAATATTAGCCTTTAGAGTCCGATGAAAATCACATCTTGACTTACGGCCGAAAAAAACGAATATTCGGTTGTCATTCAATTTCAAAATTTGTTCGATTGTCATTTTTTTGGTTTTTGGATTAATTTTACAGACCGTATGATTTTCAGAAATCATGACAAATTTATGTATTCTTTAAAAAATAAAATTTCATTAAAATATCTAACAATAATAATATAATAATATTGCGTCCTCAACTTTTAAAGAAATCAAATCATTTATTATTAGGATCATATTAAATGTAAATATCAAATTGACTTATACTTAATCGACGAGTTAATAATTAAAACCGAACAGTTGTTATTTGAACGTTCACCGATGCGTTGCAACTTTACATCTACCGAAATTTTCTCTTAATTAAACTCAAATCGAATCGAAACCTTAATTTTTGATCGAAACTGACCGAAACCGAAATCGAAATTTTGTTTGGACTTTATTAGCCTCTGCATTTTTATTTTACTGCAAACAAATAATAAAAATTTTCAAGTAAAAGATATGATCGGATGATCTAATTTCTTTGTTTGGAGACGATCATATCATTTTGTCGATCAAGAATTGCTGTCTATATATAGGATGTCCCAGAACTAGGTGGCCAAACTTTGATATTTTATTATCTATAAGAATGGAAAAATATCATAGGTATAGAAATTCTTCCTTTTTAAAATATAAATACTTTTTACGAGAGAATATTTTAAAGGTTTGTAATTTACTTGAAGAAATCGCTGAACATCGCCTTGTGTTTTGCAATACGGATGTTGAGCTTCTCTAAAATCTCCGTTAGCTCATAAATATAAAATCTATATAAAATCTATCTATCTAGATAAAATCTATATATAAAACGAATATATCTGTTGCCTCAATATTTAAATAAATCATCTTGGTACATTCTATCTTAATTATGCAACGTTTAAATAAAAACTAATTTATTACAATAAGTTGCTTTTGATGACAGTATCATTTATTCTACCACAATATTTACTTCGATGGTGTGATATTTGTTCAGCTAAACTTTTAAAGTCAATAAAAAGTATTTATATTTTAAAAAGGAAGAATTTCCGGATCTACGACATTTTTCCATCCTTGTGAACGGTAGAATATGATACCAAAGTTTTGGCCACATATTTCTGGGACGCCCTGTATAGTTTATCAGGGTCGCGCAGAATATCCGTATATAATGAAAATGACAGAAAACTGTAAAATCATATTTACATTAATGAAACACTTGATACATTCATCAATAATTTACGGAACCCTTTAAAATTTTAATTCCCTTTAACACTGAAAAAATATCTGGTTGAAAATAAACGAATCAGAATTTTTAATTTTTAAATTAAATTTATTATAGTTCTCTAATTAAGATAATCGTTAATTCTGGTTAATACAATATTTCTGGTAAAATCTACTAGAATTCTTATTTTACCAGAATATCAATCAAAATTCTAGTTATCTCAACTAGAATTCTAGTAAATTTAACCAGAAAACGTTGATTCGTTCATTTTCCACTACACACAGAATTATTATTTAATTCAACCGGACCATTTTTCTCAATGTAATCATTTTAGTTCTTGTCAACTCGTATGTCTTCTATAATGTAACTACATATATCGTTCGTATCTCATCAAGGCAGGTTCACTTACTAATGAAAAGAAAACTTCGTCTTGAATAAAACAATACAGTAAGAATGCGATTTTATTTTACCAGTAAGATATAATTTTTTTTTTTTGGGCAATAAAATACAAACATATGCATGCGCATATGTATAGGGACACGCATATGTATAATCGACGCAAAAACTTGCCACCCTATAATATGACTGGCAAAGAATATCGTTTGAAATATATTTCTCGAAAACTATCATCCTTGAAGATCTTCATATTAACATTTATAATTATATAGGATTTGATAGAAAGATAACGCGCGCGGCTGCAGTATTTTCGAGAATTGTTTGTTTAATATTCTTTATCTCGCGGAACATATATTTTTCATCTCATTTCAAAATTCTCTCATTTTTAATTCTCCGTCCCAATTACGAAAAATATATTTCATTTTATCTACAATAATAATAGTCTTCGCAAGTTAATTTTGTTATTCATTTATATGAATAATTATTATTTCTTGCAATTTTTTTCGATTAGGCAAAAACTAAATGAGAATTGTAGACATTTCTGAAATACGTCAGAACGTCAGAACGTGATAAGGATTTCGGAAAGAAAATAAACCGAAGCGGAAAAAAAATCGAAAATTTGTTTAAATCAATTTTTCAGTATCGCGATTACAATACGCTTAAGTCGTAATTGTGTCTATTGCAGAATAAATTATACATTCTTAGGGAAAAATGAGAATCAACGTGTGTAATTCTTGCAGCTTAAGGTAAACTAGAATCTGACGCAACATCGATTCCACATGTCGTCAGGACGCACATCGCGTTGTAAAATTCCTTTCCGTCGCTATGTTTTACATATCGAAAGGAAGCGAAATAACTGCTGCATCTTGACTCGCCGGCTTGAAAATTAATAAAAAATTAGACATATTTAGATTCGAAATCGGAATTATATGAAATAATTTTTCATTAATTCTATTTCCTTTCTTCTCTCTATAATTCATATTATAATTTTATATTTTGAGAATTTAACGATTTATTAAGACTTCTTAAATTACACGAGCTTAAAAATAAGATGATATAATTTATTCAGACATTAATCTACATCTTAAAAAATATAAGAATATTTTTACAATAAATAAATGGAACGTTTCGACTTTACTTAGTCATCTTCAGCCATTACAATAATAAGAATAGTTGTATAAGATGAAAAAGTTATTAATAAGTTATTAAAAATAAAATTAAATATTTAAAATATTCTCTTGTAAACAAAAAATGTTTATATTTCAAAAAGGAAATTTCCGGATCTATGTTTATATGACCTTTTTCATCTTTAGAGACGGTAGAATATGATACCGAAGTTGGCTACCTATTTATGGGACATCCTGTATGTCTGTATATCATTAGTATAAAAGTGTCAGTTGAAAAACATCACACATTAAATTGGTTGTTAGACTTAAAATATATTTTTATTCATATACCCTCAAAATATAAATGCACAATTTAATATTTAAAAAAATCAGAATTTTGAATTCGGCAATGATCAGACGAATCCATTTCAATCTTTTGGGAATTCTGAAATATTTTAAGATTTTTTATTCTATGATTTATAAAAAATACTTTAAACTTTGTGTAAGATTTTATAAGAGATATTTTATTAGAAATTATAGAATAAGAAATTTTTAAAAAGTCTTAGAATATTTCAGAATTCACATATATGAAGAATTCTAGAAAGATATATCTACTGACTTTCTCAATACTTCTGAAAAGTGTTCCAATTTATATTAAAAAATCTAAGAAATTTTCTAAAAAATTATAGTTATTTGAAAATTCTAAAAAAATCTAAAAATTAGATAAAAATTCTGAAAAATTATATTAAAAATTTTGAGAAAAATTCATCAAGGAAGGCAACATAAACTCACGTTTGTATACTATGATTGTCCAATTCGCTTTATGTCTTTTAATACTTTATGTTTTTGTATATGCCATGATCTTTTACAAAAAGAAAATAACAATCGTTATAAAAAACAAGTAATATCTATGCAACGCTATAACGCTATTTCTACATTATCATCAAGAATTGCAGACTACTAGAGATACAGGAGAATGATTAAAATCCATAGATACTCTTGACATTGTAATAAATTGATATTATAAATAAACATATTTACAAACATTATATAATTATATTTACAAACATTATATAATTATATCACAATAATCATATTCGTTTAGCAATATTGCAATCAGTAAAATAGTATAATTTTAATAATAAAATATTAATACATCAAATACGATAGAGAACGCCAACCCGGTCAAAGTTAGATGTTTCGAATAATACAATATATACTCTTTATTAAACTTGGCATAACATTTATTTATTTAGCAGAGATTATTCGAATTTTCAGCTAATTCAGTGATACTAACTCGACCACGTTGACGCATAAATTTAGCAACAGCTTCAAGTTCATCTTCCGATATATAAATAAACTTTCCTCTATCGTCAATTACGCCAGTTAAATTACCATTAGCTTGCAATTCTTGAATTCTTTCTACTACGTTTGCTGTTTTCAGTCCAAAATGTGCAGCTAGATCTTCTAAAACCAGCACTTTGTTGAGCTTAATATATGCAAGAAATTCTTGCAATAAGTTCTCTTCGCATTCTCTGTTTTCCTGTTCATAACCTTCCTCTTCCACGCTAAAAGCTTCCTTCATCTTCAAATATTCTTCATATTCTTGCCTTTCTTTTTCCTCTCTAGCTTTCTTTTCTACTTCTTCTGCTCGTAGTTGCTCAACATGTTCTTTCTCAGCCTGTTTATCTCTTTCCTCTTGTAAAAATTGTTCTCTTTTTTTATGTTCCTCTCTCTCTCGTTCAGCTGCCTCTCTCTGGATCTTCTTTTCTGCCTTAGCTGCTAACTTTGCCCGTTTTTTCGTTCCTATCTTATGATCTTCATCCTCATCGTTATTTTGATAGATCTGTCTGTCATTTTCCTCAGGTCGGTAATTAGCATGATTAGCATTTTCCTGCATACGACGTCTGGCGTTCCTTACAGCACCTACTCGCCTCAACTGTCTAGGTTGACCCTGAGGTTCCACTTCAGCATTTTGGATGTTGGCTCGTTCGTTCCGCTTAGCTAAGACTAAAATTTATTTATTTGTTTACTGGTGTGAGACACGTACAACAATTTTCTTTAATAAATGAGATAGATTTTTTATATATTCCTAATTGTTCCACTATTAGTTTTTCGTAAATATAACTGGTTAATTCGATTAAATGTTGCTAGTAAACATCATTTGATTCTCAATCTAAAAATTAAATGAGATGAAGCATAATGAAGGAAGAAGCACGAGTTGCTATGTAAAAAGCTAAGAAAGGGTTATTGAAGGTTTATAAAAAAAAAAATAAAAGTCATAAATTTCTACCTTGTAAAAGAGCAGTACATATGATAGTTAGTATAATGATTGCTACGGAGAAATATATCAACAAATCGACATCCATTCTTAAAGAGACTCAAAAGGAAGATCCTCGACTCCAATTTGACAACTGTTGACAACTTGTATCGATCCGATTTCTTCTGAGTAGGTATGGCTGGGATAGTCCTAGCCAATTCCAGCGATTACAGCGCAACGAAACGGTCTACGCATATAGGAAAGATATTTCCCAGTTATGACTGCTCGGCAGTACCACATGTAGATATTGCAGATATCGAGATATGCACAGATACGTGTATCTACTTGACCAACAATCAATTTGTTTTCAAAACTTTAATGACTGAAGAACCTAGCTGATCTTACTCTTAGTCTTGCTTTTCGAAGGTGACGTGTATTCCGTATGGTCGCCTCTACTCCAGTTTGTTCCGGTCTCGTTGGATTTCATTAGCTCTCGTCTGGCATGCGTGCGAACGTTTATTCGTGATTTCATAATTATCTTGTCACTGGCGATAAACTGTTACACGAAACATGTTAAAATACGGAAGTATTTTTTTCATTTTCCTGTGCACCCTCATCCAATTTGGAACAGGACTGTATTTTCATATCGGTGAAACTGAGCGGAAATGTTTCATCGAAGAGATCCCCGATGACACTACGGTTTTAGGTAAAATTCAATAATTTCATTATGACAATAGCCTTCACTTATTGCTTTTTTTTCAATTGTTGTTCATTCAATTATAGCGAGATAAAAAATTTACGAAAAGAAAATGAATTAAACAAGATACATTGCTCTGCGCTTCCTACTTTCGGCTATCATTTATTCAGCGATAAATATTTTTTATTCGCAGTCAATTATAAAGTAGAACTTTATGACCCAAGAAGCGGAGGTTTCATGCCAAGTAGTCCTGGCATTGGTATGCACGTTGAAGTAAAGGATCCCGATGACAAACCTATCCTCTCACGAGTTTATAGTTCCGAAGGTCGAATTTCATTTACTTCACACACTCCTGGAGAGCATGTAATCTGTTTGTATTCGAACAGCACTGCCTGGTTTAGTGGTACTCAATTGGTAAGATACACATCATACAATTATTGTCCAAACGAATATATACCAAACGAATCATAGTAAGAAAGAAAACAAGGATACACACATATATTGGAAAATATATTTCATTTGCAGAGAGTACATCTGGATATTCAAGTAGGGGAACATGCAATTGATTACGCCAATGTAGCACAGAAAGAAAAATTATCGGAACTCCAACTTAGAATACGTCAGCTTCTAGATCAAGTCGGACAAATAACCAAGGAACAAAATTATCAGAGGGTATGAAGTAATTAAAATACTTATAGTGAATTCAGTTACTTTGCACTAGATTAGTACATACTCTTTGCATAAAATTACCAAAGTTAAATGCAAAGTATATAAATATTTTAAACGACTATCTACTAATGATATGTCACGTTATTTAATAAAATATGTATGTATCATTTTATTGTCAAAGTTGATTATATTATATCACTGCATTGAGATATTTTATATAAAGCAGCTTTTAATATGCACTGATCCAGTGTAGTGCGAGTGATCGAATCCACCAATAGTTTCTATGGACGTTTTTCACCAAGGACACAGTTCATTTCATCCTTATTTAATGTTGAAGAAACAACAAGAATGTAACAATTTACTCTGTTATACAGTATCCTTATTGAAAAATGTCCTTTATGTATAAAGCAACATCTCGAGTATTATAAAAAAGAAACATTATGAGAGATTATTGTACGAAAACATATATAATTTTTCAGTATCGGGAAGAACGGTTTAGGCAAACGTCTGAAAGCACTCATCGTCGTGTATTCTGGTGGTCTCTGACTCAGACTGTAGTAGTCCTGATTATGGGTGCATGGCAAATGAAACATCTCAAGAGTTTCTTCGAGGCAAAGAAATTAGTTTAGATATTACGATATAGAAAGCGCATTTTGATTTTAGCCGCAGTTCATCATTTATATGTCTAAATTTCATTCGTAGTGTTAGGAAAGTTTCATCATAATGTTTGAGCACGGTGTTTATCAAATGAACATATTATCGAATTATCGGTTATTTTCTATAGTAAATAAATTAATTGTGATTATATGCAATTGTGTAATATGTAATAAGTTATAATAAGAATAAAATAAGTATCTTAAATATAAAATATCTATAGATATTATTTTATTTTTTTATATTATGAAATTTCTACATCATCTTTTTCCTGATTTTGGAATTTTCAAATTTTTAAGGTTCCAGATGATATGGCCAATATAACTATAGGCCAACAGTTTGCACACATTCATACATTTCCTAATGCTCGAATCAGATTATGAATTGAAAAATGAAATTGAAGATAAAGATTGAAGTTTGATCAATCAGAACAAAAGGAGCCAAAATTTCTTCTTATTGGTGAAATTTCAATCTTCAATCTCAATCTTCAATGTATAGTCTGTTTCCAGCTTAACCTCATCAATTTTAATATTTAATATCTCATTCCTGCACTTTTTTCTGCCAGATTCTTTCATTTTGTGCAAAAACATGTCGAATGGGCCTAGTTTCATTGAAATCGAAGGAAAGGCAGTTCTTCTGATAATTATTGTATTGTATATTGTATTGCAAAAATTCCCTATTATCTCCTCAATTTTAGTCTAGCTAAAAATAGCAAAAGGGAATCGACAATGGGCTCGTTCAAATTAATAAAGCGTTAGCTCTAGCCTGCTCGCCGAGCAAATGAACATAATTGATTACTTATAGGATATGGTCAACGTGATGCTAGAAATGCTTTGAAGCGTTTTTTATTTGATCAGTTTGCAAAATTCTTTTATCTAATTGGTCCATTAAACACTTCAAACCGTTTGTAGCGAGACTTTGATATAGATCATAGCCATAGATCCAACTAGAGACCCTATAATGTAACAGAGAGCAAACCCTATAATGTAATAAAGAGCAAATTCTACGATATAATGTATTGGGTCATCTAAAAAGTATCCGCGGTACTTTGTCACTAGATATATGACCATCAACACACATCTAGTGACAAAACCGCGGATACTTTTTAGATGACCCAATAACATAGCATGAAATAGTATATAAATATTCACAAAACATTAAAGGATGAATTTATTAACCTCATTCCACAGCAGTTGACAGAAATCGATGTTGAGTATATTGATAGTAAATTCAATATGGCAGCTACTACGAATTACTTCAGCCAATCAGAGAAATATATCGATCACGTGACACTTTGCGAATCTCTGAGCGAGTTTAAGACGACAAAACGGCTATATTTACCGAGCGATTGAATATGATTGGTTGGATCTATAAGTAACAACCAATTATGCTCATTTGCTCGGTGAGTAGACTAGTTATTTTTTCACACTCTACTTTTTCACTACTTTCTTTAGATACTCTACGAATTATTTCATTGGCTGCTAAGCATCTGAAGATAAATTTAAGAAAGCCTTAAGTACAAGGTCTGACTATAAATACGAGTATTATTCTCTGATCTCTGTTTCTTGTTCCTTTTATTGTACCCTTAAACATGCCTAATCGCTTTGCCATCTTGAACTCGCCCAATGAAAAAAAATCGAATTTCTCAGAATCGACGATTCAATTCTCGAGTGTGAAAAAGAATTGATTCTCGATGTATCGAGTCAGAATCTGTTCGCGTTGCTTACACCTTTTGAACTTCGTATTTTCTTTTTCTCTCCTTTCAACGTCCAAATATATATTGATCCCGTTTTAAGTGCAAACATTTTTGTAGATTTCAAGCAACGCGAACAAATCTATTATCTAATTATTTCGTATCTTGTTGGTGATCCGGTATAAACTATTTTTTGTATTATTTTTTTTTCAAACATTTACTAAAGAAAATGCTAAAGTGCGTAATCTGTGGTTGTAGCGATTTTTTTAAAGCATCTGGTTATTCCTTTTGTATGACATGTCAAACGCAAAGCCAGGTAATGTTCTTTATAAATGCGTATACACGTGTGTGAGTACGTTTTGAAATTATTGATAATAGTCCCCTCACTTACTCTACGATTTTGATAAAATTAGATTTATTCGATGCGTTTTTGCATGAAACGCATGAAAGAAAAAATATTAGCTCGACTCCGCAAACCGAGATATTAAGCATTAAAGTTGACGATTATTGAGGTTAGGATATTTGTCATACCAATGAGACGCAGCGATAATAATTGTTGAATTTAGCCTCTTCACCTTCGATGTTGATGATACATTTTTGTAGGAAATGAACAAATCTGGCAAAAAAATGTCGCTTTGCCCCGCGAACGAGTTAATTGCTGAAATTGACAGATATTTAGGTTATAAAATCTGTCGTATCAGTGGTATAGATAGTTACACAAATTCTCTGCTTTAAAAATGCAAATTTCCTTTCTCCTTTTTAGCTAATCGGATTTCGGCCTCTATAACAAGGCCAAGTATCACGGGATACATAAAATCAATCGGAGAAGACCTCCTGTGACCAGAGAGTCTCAGCTGAGTTGCAGCTTCTAAAAGAAGTTTCTGGCGTTTGTTCCTCGTTGAAGGAAGTTGTAGGAGTTTAAGAAAAATTTTCTGCCTTAAAAACACATTATTTTCTATATAATTTTTATTTTTACAGTAGAAAATTTGTTTTTAAAGCCGAGAATTTGTGCTTTTAAATTGTAGACAAATACTAAATAAAGCAAAAATTATATAGAAAATAATATGTATTCTTAAAGCAGAGAATTTGTGTAATTGAAGCAGAAAATACTTATTGTAGCCTCAAGTACGTGTGCATGACCGTGCCATATCTCGTCGCTGCGACAGATATCATAACCTCATAGTCGTCAACTTCAACGCTTAATATCTCAGTTCGCCGACCTAACATTCTTTCTTATGGATTCTTTTGTTTCGTGCAAAAACGCGTCGAATAAGTCTAATTTTATCTAAAGTCGGAGGTGAGAGAACTATTCTAAATAATTACGTTGAGAAGAACTAGTAATATAATTTCAATTTTTATTTGCTTAGGACATTGGAGAAGAACTAGAGTACGATCTACCTATGGACAATACTACGAGATTGCGAAAAACAAAAATCTATCATACAAAACGCGATAGAACAGGTTTATCTTTATATTTTGAAAGAATAATTGTTATATATGTTATATATATTATACTGTTATATATACTAATACATAATGATAATCAAACACATTTCAATTTGACTTATTATCAATAAGATATTTTTTTGCATAGATGAGGAGGGTGGATGGACATCTTGGGAATTATATAATTTTGTTTTAATTGGTTTGACAAATGAGCTTATTGAACTTGGTGTATCAGCCGATATAAAAGTAACAGTGCTACAATTGTGGGCAAGATATCTGGGAAAACTAGAAGTAGCTTTTGTCTCTACAAAAAAGAAACTAATACCAAAATTGGCTAGAAGATATCAGAAAAGGTCATATATATTATTGTATATCAATCATTTATTTAAAAAATGTTTTGTAATAATAAAATATTTATCAATGTATTTCTTTTATTTATTTAATTTTCTTCAGGAAATTTTACTTGAAATTTTTGTAAAAATTAACTGTTCATAAAAATTTTAAATTAATCCTATTGAGAATAATAATACAATATATTTTTATAGAGATGCTGAAATTCTATATGGCAGAATTCCACAAAAGAGACCCCAAAAACGGATAAAAACTGGAAGCATAGCAGATTCTACAATTATCTATCCCAACGAAGGAATCTCCTCGAGAGAATTAAATAGGAATAAAGTATGACAAATGTATTATAATATATTTATAAAATCTGATTTCTGAAAATTTATTGACAATGTAATATGTCTTATAGAAACTAATGGTTACTGCAGACTATGATAGATTTATACGGTCACAAGTAAGCTCAGAAGAAGATGCACTTAGTAGCGCACATTCTGGTGATCAATCTTTTAAAAATATGAGGTAAAGAAACAAGCGCAAACAAGGAATGAATTGTATGAAAGAATTAGGAAAAAAAAGTGATTGCACTCTCCCCATTATCTTTTAATATTTTTACATATTTATTCTATATATATATTTTTCTATATACATATATATGCAATATATACAGGATAAAATTTAATTCATCTGCTAAAGAGGAGAAGAATAAAATAGAGAATATGGCAAAAAAAGTGTCAAGATCCAAACGCAGCAAATACAAACAAAATCATGTAACGACTCAGTATAAAACAAGTCCAGAATTAATAACACCTACCAAGTTATGGGCAATCTTGTATTTGGCATTAAGAATTCATAATCAGGATATGCATTTAAGTGATATGATAAGGTAATTTATAAATATCTTTTTGTAAGTTTCAAGTTTCACAATAATAAAATTATGAATTAATGTATATTGTATTTCTATAAACATTATTTGTTAATGTTTTTTTATGTTTAGCTCCATTATACATACACATGTATAAATTTTTGCAGGTATGGGAGGGAAGGACGTTTATCTTATTACAGATTAGATCGCTTGATACCTCCTGAAGTATCTTTAACAAAAAACGATATGAATTTCTTATCACGAGCTATGGACATAACACACAAGGGTATGAGAAAAGTTATTGGACAAATGGCAAAATTTCTTGGAGTCACGAAAATAATTTGTCCAGATCTTTATTCCCTTGTTAACCGATATTGTATTGAATTAGCTCTACCAAGTATGAATTGTATAAACTTAAAGATCTTTATTGTTCGTATATATACAAGTACATTTATGTATATTTTAATGCAATTACTATTTTTGTATTATTATGATATTTACAGAAGGTATATCATTGTATGCTGAACGATTAATAACTTTATCTTCTCCAAAAATGACGTTTGATAAAATATCGTGTATTCCTAATTATGAAGGTCGTGCCATGGCGTTTATTATTGTAATACTGAAAACATTATTGAGTTTGGATGGTATTACAGAAAATGAAATTAGTAATGTTGCTGAAAACATTAATAGGTATGTGAAAAAATTTTTTAATATAATAGAATATACATATATTGGAATGTGCATGTTCGGCACAAGATACAATACTTAACACTGCAAATGCTACAAGCATTCTTAGACTGATCAAGTCGTAAAATTCTTTCTTTTCTGATTGGTCAACGAAGCATTTGCAGTTAAATGGATCGCACACATATTCATACATAATAAATTATGCGCTTGCTTACACAACACTAGACATAAAAGATGAGTTCCATTATCATGTATCGCTAGATTTGGACGAGATTTTTCTGCCAAAATTATAGGATTCAGCAAGAAGATTATGAATCAGTCTCACTAATTTCCATTAATCTAATCGATCAATTGAGAGTCAACTGTGATTGATCAATTCTGCTGAACACAGCAAATGTATTATAAATGGTCAGTTCCAACGTAACAATCGATCGATTAAGTTAATCGAAGTTGGTGAAGCTAGTCCTAAAGGATCAATGGACGCATTCAGTAGATTTAACAGTTGAATGAGCGCTCGCTGCTATTGATGTATTCTTCTAGATCTAAAATTCTGATTGAATGAGCTAAAATACATCAATAACAGCGAACACTCACTCAACTGTTGAGCCCGCTGAACGCAGCCAATTATGCTATTAACTTATGCCGTAAGCTATATAAGAAATTGACCAATCACAGTCTAATATGAAATCGATTTTTCTGTTCACATTCGACTGTGAATGTGTTATAGCTTGACATAAGTTAATAGTTTACGGCATATATAAATGATGTTTAAGGCAAGTAATGAGGATTTGTGGTCTTCTTAAAATTTCTACATCGCTTTGTAATCCTTATTGATTATTCAAGAAAGTGATATAATTTTCATGGAAATGTTAAAATAATAGAACCTTTCTAAATTTGACACAGCGTTGATGTCACACTGAATACTCATGCGCGAAAAGTGACTTGCTTGACAATATATTACACATACAAATAATTGGTTATATTTATCTGTCAAATTATCTGTATTAAATTAATAGAAATAGTATGTAGACTTGATGTGAAAATTTGTCATCTACTAATTTGATATTTAAATGTATATAATTATTTGAATATAATGCAGTGTCAGTACGAAAATTTCAATACTCCATGTATACTTGTACATGGTGATATTGAAAATTTTCACAATACGATAATTATTGAAAAAACAGTGAGTTGTAAAAATGCAGCATCCATTGGATATCAAAGTTTGTTAGATGGTGCAAATTCTGTACAAGCTGTAGAAATTGCATTATGGTGGTTAGAATGCGATGAATTCTTTAATTGTGGTTATGGATCGGTTTTAAATAATATAGGTATAATAAGAATAATACAAAAATAATAATTGCGTTAAAATATATATAATAAAAAATTATTAGCATATCGTGTTGCATAAAATAGGAGAGGTACAAATGGATGCGAGCATAGTAGATGGTTTCAAATCAGAATGTGGATCTGTAGCTGCAATATCAGATATAGAGCATCCAATATCTCTTGCCAGATATGTTTTGGATAATTTTCCCAACTCTATCGTAGTAGGGGAAGGTGCAAAAAAATTAACGAAATATGCAAAATTAAACTTGCTATCAAAAGGAAACATGACAGCACCTATGGCGCATTTAGCTTACGATAAATCGCGAGAAATAGGCAGTTCTGATATTAATTTGGATACCAAAGATCATCAATTATTGGACGTATTAGGAAGTAAATTGTAGATACGATATTTCAGAAAATATTATTTTCTTCTATTTTTATAAGAAAAATATTACCGATATACGTATGATTTTGATACAATTTTTATCTATAGATAGCGGATGCAGCGTTGGTTGTATAGCTTATGATGGACATGGTATTGCTGCAGGTGTTACAAGTGGTGGTTTAAACAAAAAATTAATGGGTAGCGTGGGCGACTCCTCTGTATTAGGTTATAGCACATATGCTAATCAAAACGTAGGATGTTCTCTAACAGGTCATGGAGAATCTATTATGAAACATGGTTTATCAAGAAATATTGCGGGTGAAATTGAAGAAGGATGCTCTCTACGAAAAGCTTTGAAAAAAAATCTAGATTATATATCAACTAGATATAATCGAACTTTTGGGGGTATTGTATTTGACAAATCTGGGGAATGGGATATATATTTTACCTCGCATAAAATGCCATACGCTGTAATTATGAAAGACTGTGTGACTTTTGGTGCAGCTTTAGGTGAAAAACACATAGAAAAATATTTTGAATATCGGAAACGTCTTCCATGCAACTGCAGCTATCCTTTTGTAAATAATATTACATTGCAATGTCTCGATTTTTTTGTATAATTTTTTACATTATTATTATGTATACTTTATCATTTCTTCCTTATTGATATATAATATATTTCTTCTTTTTTCAGTGCAGTTAACGACGAAGGTATCTGTGATACGAAACTATTCAGTTTTCGGGAATGGCAAAAATATATCGAATGTAGAAGAACAATCTTAATTAATGCGCACTGTCCTACCAAGTTAAAATACAATCCAAATATACCAGATGTTAATAATTTATATATTAAATTTTTGGAATCTATTGATTCTAAAATAGACAGAGAAGAACCTGAGATAATTATACGTAAGCATTTGATATCAAATGAACTTGTTTACGCAATGAAACAGTGTATTACCAATGCAAGTTATATTGCTCCGCCATTGAATGAAGTGAACTATTTTTCTCCAACATTAACGCCAAATCATTCGTATCTTCAACAATTATTGGAGCATCCACTATATGATCTTCCAGGAACGCTCCGAAATGACTTTTCGTCTACAAAAATTGGATACTTGAGAAAATCAAAATTGTAAGTAATATTGTGAGATTTACAACTTACCGGTCGTAAAAATTATATGAGTAATGAGATGAGTAATCAATTGTCTTTTTTTATCATTTTAGTATCCACAAATTGACTTCGCATTACGATATTCAAATAGATTCTATTGATTCGAATTTACATTTTATTGAAAAAATAGTACCAGTTTTCGAGCAAACAAAAATCGCCAGTATAAAAGATTTGAAAGACGAAATTACGATAGAAGATTTTATGGAAGATGATAAGAAATGTGTCGAGAGAAAAGAAAATTTTATTGATTATATACTTAAGGAGATACCCTGTCAATTTAAAATTGATGTAAAAAAGAAGCAATATTACGACGATACAATTGTACATATGAAAGCGCCTCCGTTAGCATCCGCATTAACCAATGAATTTATATTTCATGAAATTCTTCCAGATGGTAAATTATCAATCCCAAATAGATATCTAGATGGTGACGAAAGTCAGGATGATAATGAAAGTAAGGATGATGCATGTCTACAAAATATTGCTCCTCAACAAATGATATTATCGTTATCCAAGTTTTGTAAAGCATACAATATAAATCTTTCAAGTACAGAAAAAAAAGCTATATTGATAAATTCAAGCCAACAGAAGAAACAAAAGCGCCAACTTGTGCGAAATTCGTTTGGTAAATTTGTTAAACAAACCGATACTTCTCTCAATATGGAAAAAAGGAGTCCAAATAAAGATGATAATTATATGAAGCAAATTGAAATTATTTCAACAAATATTTCTGGAATTGAAAATATGTTACCAGAGGTGTCCGATATATTAAACTTGAGTGCCAACGCATCTATTTTTGATAATTTTATCAAACTTGAAAATGAATATGGCATGAATGATCAATCCAAGAAAGAAACTTTTAATAAAATCAAACTTGATTCGATTATCGATGAATCTATTATGGATAAAAGATTAAATAGTAATATTCTTAGATTATTTAAACCGTTTAAAGATTATTGGATGTATCATTGTAATTTTAGCCGTGTGAAGTCAAAAAATTTTGAAGTACTTGAGAAAATGCTGCCAAGGAGTTTTCGATGGTTACTGAATGAATGCGCGAGCAACATTGAAATGTCGACGGAAGACCTGTATGAAGAAGTATGCCTCGTCGAAGCTTATTATGCATATGTCTCGGAAGAATCCAAGATTTATTCGTGTCCAACAAATAAAAATGAAAATTGCAATAATCAAGCATATATCAATTCAGTTTTAAAGAAATGGTAAAGCTAAATAATTATCACATACATCAAATATTTAACTATAATATGATTTGGAATTTGTGATATCGCAATTATACTGATATCAAATTTTTTACTCGTAGTGCTAATTTTTTTACAGATTTTAATATATACAACATTAAATTTATTATATGTAAAACGTGTTGTAAATAAAAAAAACGATTTATTTTCTTTTCTCTTAATTCAATAAATGAGATCTCTTTTAATTAATTCTGAAATTTTTTATGGTTATTTTTAATTCAGACCTAAAAATTTTAATGGAAAATATTAGATATGTTTACTTATCTCATTCTGAATGTACTAAAATATTAATTGTAATTCTATATATATTAATATTTTTTCTCTCTTTCCTACATTTTCTTTTTTCCTGTCACTGTTTCTTTTAACAAATTTTATAGAAAAAAATATGCAAAAAAATCATTAATGTATATTTTTAATGAGAAAAAAACTGTTAATAAAGTACGTATAAGTGTATAATTCTCTTATATGTGCGTGTATAATTCTCTTATGTGTGCATGTGTATAACTATAAAAAGTATGTGAAAGAATCCATAGTTTCAAAGTTAAATTCTACATCATAATTCCCATAATAAAATAATTAAACTTTATACATAAAAATTCAAAATACATCACTACCGACCTTCATTGTAATTAGTATAACAATGTAACTTATATACGAATATTGATTCATTTTTTTATATGACAGTTCTTCATATAAATGAAATACACAAGATATACATATTACACAATAAAAGATATAAAGTTGAATATTTCAACTTCAATTTGAAGTAAATTTTAAATTATACATTCATGCGATTTCTGGTTTCAAATAAAATTATATTTCCCGAATTTATATAACAAAATAAAAAAAAAATTGTTTCTACACAAGTGTACCCTCTATCGTTTTTATTTCTATGTAATTTGATGCGCTCTAATATGAAAAAAAAAAATACAATATCATAGACTCGCGCAGTTGTCGAACACAACTGTTGCACTTGATTCCGAGGATTTCCTCGGGCTTTACTTGGACTGCCGCACTCGACATTCGCATCGTGTAGAATCGTGTCAATTCGTGGGGGCGATGCGATGCAACTCAAGGCGACTGGCGAGGGCGAGATTCGACGTGATGCGGCCGAGACTGCGAGACAACGCGACAAGAGACGAGACGAGACGCGATCGGTGATGTATCACGATGTATGTAACTCGGCTCGGTTCGGTAAGCTCGAGCAAGCTCGAACAGCGCGGTGGCCGGTGGTGCGAGGTGCGCCGTAGGCTCGTAGTGCGAGTATTCACTTGAGCCTTCAGTAGTAAACACCAATCGGTGTAGGACAGAACGGTGTAGAACGTTGAATGATATTGCCGCGTTACCACGGTATTCGGCGGCCCGGCGTGTTGCGCACAAAAAGGAGCGCGGGTGCGCGTGCTGCACAGTGTTGCACGCATCATTTCCTGGAAAAAAAGAAAAAAAAAAGAAAAACATCTGTGATCGCATCGAGGTCGCGCGCGGTCAAAAGATCAGAGGGGATTTGTACTTCGGAGGCGGAACCTCTGCATCAGCGACGGAGTCATCGACACCGTGTGTTATTGGACGTAGCTTCCAACGCGGAATCGTCCTGACGCGTGCATTCCGAGGGAGAAGGTCTACCTGTGCGTACGAAACGAGTACGACGACGTAGTCGACTACGAGCGATCGCACTTGTGATCCGCCACCACCACCACCACCACCGCCGCCACCGGTAGGATCCGTTATCCTTACGGGTGAGTTCTCTCGATGAATTCTCTACTCTTAATATTATTACCGCGGATTATTCGTGTGGGTTAGCAGCGACGGCGACGGCGACGGCGACGATGACGGTGACGGTGACGATGACGGTGACCGAGCCGCGTTTAACTCAGATATGCGACTGGGAAGGTCGCAGCCAGAGACATCCTTCCTTTTTAGGCACCCAAGGTGCTTCTTTTACGTTGTTTTACGTTACGAAGGTACGCAATGTTTTTCCCGCCAATCGTAAACTGCACTAACGGATAATACAAATTGTGACTTAATTTTCACTCCTTTTTTTGCGGGACATGAATTACCGGTATCGTGTCTCCCCTTCTCCTCCTTCTTCGCCTAATGTTTTAAAAGTATAAACGTATTTTTTTTACATTAAATGAAATATGTGAATATCTATGTTTTCGTTCTTTTATAAATCGACGAATGTACGTGATCTTCCAAAAACATTGGTTAGAGAGGAAGGGAGGGAGAGAGAGAGAGAGAGAGAGAGACAGAGAGTAGAGAGAAAGAGAGAGGAGCGAATAGCGATTATAATATATAATTTTAATCATTCTCAAAAAATTAGCACGTTTCGATTAGTGTTAATTGCGATAATAACAATCAAATGTCAGTCGAATGTCGGAAATACCATCGTATCGGTACGCATGTGACGCACGTGCGTTTGTAAAGAATGGCGCGAAAACATTTGCCTGAATCAGAGCTGTTGCACGACATTGTACACCTGTCACATTCGAGTTCGAAACACTGATCGCCGACAGAGTTCTCTGGTAAAAAAAAAAGTTGATAGAGAACGATAGAAAAATCCTATCGTTTTGAATATGGAATCTGGTAATGAATTTAAATTCATTAATTTGAATCAAGATCTTGTAGGAATCTTGTACACAAATTTTACAAAATCCGATAACATGCGATAGGATTCATATCTAATCAATCATAATGCTCGTGAGGTCAACGATAGAAAATTATATAAACTTATAGAAAACGATATAAATTGATGAGAAACTCCGTTTTCTATCAATTTCCAGGATTAATAGGTCTGTTTTTTATTCCTATATTAGACTGCACTAGAACTCTTTCTCGCTTTCGCCACATATATATATATATATATCTATCTCACTTTAAGTTTCAAAAGTATACACTAATTCAGCCACAAAAAACAGACCCAATGAATTAGTCAATTTATATTTTTTGAAGAATCGCCCAAGTTGACGAGACGCACGAATGCGTTCGTAGTTTCGATAAATTGAAAGATTAATTTGTTTTCTTTTTTCTTTTTAGAAAATTTAAAAAAGTTATTTATAATTCAAATCATATTTAATATAAGGACGAAAATTATTTTATCTAAAAATGGGTACAAAGATTGATAATTAGGAAAAGGTTATAATTTGAAATTGTCGTATATAACGACTAGCTATAAAGTCAATAGGTTTTTAGGTGAAAATGACTAATAATATAGCGAAAAGTCATTTACATTTTTACAGAAAAGTCTTATATTGTAAATTATTAAAATTTACATGTATCACATTTGAAATATTTAATGTTTTTTCACTGTAACGTACAAAAAATTACTTCTATACATGTATATATATATATATATATATATATATATATATACATGTATATAATATGTAAGTCAACACGGTGCATTTTTAAGGAAAAAAAATGCTCGAGCTAAACTGGGACAGAACAATTTGAGAACTGGACGACTGATATCGTTCATTCTAATCTGAAAGCCGAAAGAGACACATTGTGAGATACGAAAAGGAAATGAAAAAGAGAGCTTTTAAAAAAATTACAAATACCCTATTACAATAAATGAAATCAGATATTTCCTATAGTAATACGCAGCTCTGCATAATACGCATCGTTCACTGCAACATTTGTCGCATTTTAAGTACGAACCCCGTTATCGAAACGGTAGATGATCGTTGAAGGTCAATGGGTCGCCAACACCTCGTGATGCTTAGTAAGTAAGCCCTTTCGATTATTTACTAAAGACATTTTTATAATAGAAACGATATAGTAATAATACGTTCCTCGAAACCAGACTACGTCAAAATTAACTACGACCTAACCATACAGGCAGATCTACATTTGATTGTTGTCGATCCAGCAGCGGAAGTTGATAAAAGAAAATGATTATTTCATTTTTAGACGCAACAAGATTCATTGAAACAAACGAGTGTGTGTGTAATGTAAAATATCTCTTTGAATTACATCAAAAACAATAAACCATAAGGAGCATATAGGCCAACTAACTATGTACAGGATATTATTGCAAAATGTCTTTTATCGTTTAAAATGCACAAGTAAATGTTTCTACTGTTATCCAGTCATCTTCAGTACAAGTTTAATAATATTTTACTGTAGATAACTGGATAACAGTCGAAACGTTTACTTGTATTTTAAACAATAAAAGACATTTTACAATAATATTCTGTAGTTTAGTCTGTGTGTTCCTTATCGTTTATTAAGATTCATTGATTTGGTCGAAAATATATTGAGATGTTTATTCTCTTATGTATATGTAACACGTAAATATCGATGTTGTTCGATATTATATCGCTTCTTATTCTGACTTAAGGGCCCTATTCACATCTACTTAAAAATCTATAAATACATATTATGTGAGAATAAAATTTGATTATAGAGTTTGCATCAATACTGTTATGTAAATAAAATATATAAAGAAATTATTGCAAAACAAAATTATGTAAAAGAAGATCTCAAATAGCACACGGCGCTTATAAAGCGCTTAAAAAACGTATAGAATCGTTTTTTTAACATTTTTCAAGCTGCTGTGCTACTTGGGATCTTCTTTTATATAATTTTGTTTTGCAATAATTTCTTTATATGTAAATAAAATTTACGTTATGTAAATAAAATATACAGTGTTTCAAAATTCGCGCCCGCGGAGTTTTTCTTTTTACAAAATTGCGTCTGACAAGTAGTTTTTGCAGGTTGAAGTTAACAAATAAACGCAAAAATTATTTATCGATTTTGTTAAAGGAAAAAGTTGTTTGTTTTAGCATAAAGTATCACATTGTATTTCGCATGCGCGAATTTTGAAACACTCTGTATAAAGAAATTTATGCAATTTAAGTAAAAAGTATTTCATGTAAAAAAAAATTGATGAGAGGACCATTTTTTTGCTTTACTTTCACGGTGTAATGCAAAAGCAAGTTACATCCCATTAATGCATTTCGTCGATATCCTGCAATCAAAATGAATCGAAAGATGAAGTGCATCGTCAATCGTGTTAACGCAATTAATTATTTATCGATTCTACTGCAGCATTTTGGAGTGCTGCGAAATGATTGGCGATAATTGTAAATTATACTAATTAGTCTTCAATGGCTGACATTTGTTTGTCGTGTTTGCTTTTTATGGAGAATAACGATAATATTATCTACTTATTGATATTCCAGTATCATTGTCGATTACAACATAAGGCAGTTCATTGCTAGAGGATTGATTTGGGATTAATTTTAAATATCCGTGAACTTGACTCTGTATCTGACGTAAAAATAAAAGTTAATCGAATCTTCCATTGAAAACGGTGTCAAATCGAATTAAATGAGATATACAATTGTACGTGTAATTACTTAAAGATTGAAAAAGAGAAAGAGAGAAGGACGAAGGGAAGCATTTTCCTTGCGTTCTATACTGAAAGAAAAGATTGGCTGAATATAAAATAGCATAAAATTTTTAATTAGTTGCTGCAACCAAAAAGAATTAGCTACAGTCAATTAAAAATGCCATGCCATATTTTACCATCTAATTTGCTGCAGCAGTCAATCTTTTCTTTCAGTGTATCAATTAATTACTTGGTTAATTTTATGGCGTAGAAATGCTGACGAGCAGAAATGCTGACGAAAGTATTACTGTGAAAAAATATTGCAGCGACGACAAGCGACTTCCTCCACATCTTATCCTATACATGCGCTCACCTTGTATTAGATGACACCTGTTTTCGATTCTGGACTTCGATAATCTAAACACGATATGTTCTGTGTTTATTGCACACATGTTTGACGATTACGATTTACGCAACGAAGGTGTTAACAATCATTGCTTGATCAGCGGCCTATCGTGAAACTCAACAGATTGACATTCGAGCAAATATGACGAATGATTTGTATGTTGATTCTAACTTGGATTTTGTTTAAAAAAATTTCCTCAAAGTTTCTATATTGTCACGATAGAGGATGATAAAAACTGCCGAAAGGAACAACTAGATTTAGAATGTACTTACATTATAATTATAACGACAGATACGTTTCATTGATTGTTTTTTTATTTAATCAAGAAATCAATGTGTGTATCGTGCGATTATTAATTTCATCATCTCAAGGTTGCTTGTCATGGCACTTGGGAACGAATGTTCTCTGCACAGCGTGATATTCGAGCAGAGATGAAAGCAAAAAGACGAGCTATGGTATATTTCTCTTCTGAAACACATTAACAATAACTCGCACAACGCCACGTATACATCCTCTATCTGTGTCCTTAAAATATGAAAATATTACCATAAAATGTGACCTTAAACGCGCGGGGGCCCTTTTTTGATAATACATAAATCGTTATGTGCTTATTAACCGAGCAAGGTTCTCCAACTTGCTCTCACCCTGAACACCCCGGGCATTCACGTCGCGTGGCGAGATACCACCGATGTGAATTGAATTCTTAATGTTCACCTTGGCCCATTCTCTCTCTTTCTTTCTCTTATTTTCTCTTATCTCTCTTTTGACCAGTGAATAAACTTGTATATATACTTATATACGCTCGCAAGTAAGCCAAGTTTTTAAAAACAAACTCTTATTTTGTCACCATCTAAATCCGCAAGTTGTTTCGTAGAATGCACGATGCAATACGCTGTTTCAGCATCACATTTCGTCTCCAGCTGTACTTATTGTTAAATAAATTTCTGTATGTATGTGCGCGTTCTGTATGTAATGCTAATCGCAAAGTTCCCGCACAA